GGCGGGGGAGGGGAAAGAGGTAGTGGTCATACTGCTGCTGGTGTCTTGAGCAGTCCGGATCCTGCACGTGGTCCCTGTTTGGAAGAATCTAACACTCTGAATATGAAGGCCTGCCCTCGTCCCACATAGGTGGTGTAGCTGCAGTGAGTGTTGGGGTCAGGGGACAAAGCCTCCATGTACTTGGAGGTGGAGAAGGAGCCTGGCGGCTCTCTGTGCAGCTGGTTGCTGTGGGCCCATGTGGGGCTGGGGCTGGGGCTGGGTAGCTGTGCCTCCATCCTGCATTCAGGACCACCTCCCCTGCACTGGGGCTTCCTCTTTGGCTGGCAGAGACATACAGTCGGTTGTTGCTCTGTAGTTTGTAGCCTGGCAGGAAAAGCAGAAGTGGCTACCCAAGCAATTATGGCATCAATGCAGACACAGGGGCTCTTCAGGGCTGGCACCGCACGGGATGGTACCCTTGCCCACATCCGGGAGTGGGGATGTAGGAAGAATGCCAGGCTTGGGCTCTGGAGCCTTGGGGAGAGGAACATCAGAGGGAGAGCTAGAACTCTCTTCTTAATATTATCATCACGAGACACTTTTGTTTCCCTTGACCTCTCTGGGGGCACAGGTGCTGGGGTCGGCCGTGGGGCTATAGTATCAAGCCTCTGAATCACCTCCACGCACATCACATTGTGTGATGTCTGGCTCATAATCAGGTTGGCAGCTATTTGAGTGTCTCAGGGATTTCTACCCTTGTTCCCCTGAGTCATGAATGCATGGGTCAGACTCCAGGCAGCCTAGCTAAGACTGAAAGAATTCAACTTACATCTGAACTACTGGGGTGCCTGGGTGGCTCAGTCAGTTAAGCATCTGCCTTTGGCTCAGGTCATGATCCCAAGGTCCTGGGATTGAGCCCCGCATCATCCACGAGCTCCCTGCTCAGCCGGGGTTCTGTTTTTCCCTCTCCCTCTGCTCCTCCCCCTGCTTGTGCTCTCTCTCTCTCTTTCAAATAACAAATAAATAAAATCTTAAAAAATTTTTTTGATCTACTGCTCTCTCAAGATAGTCTGCAGTTTGAGTTAAGCCAAGCTAACTGCCTACTTGGAAAACAAAAACAAAAACAACAAACACACCAATACTCTTTGGAGGAACAACACAGAATCCATGGTCTTTATAATGTAACCTCACTGTGTCCAGGATACAGTCCAAAATTACTCCAAATATGAAGAAACAGGAAATACAAACCACACTCAAGAGAAAAGACAACAGAGATGTTCCCCGAGATGAGCCGGATGTTAGGATCTGTACACAAGGATTTTGGCACGCAAAGATGCAAAGAAGAATATGCTCATGTTAAAGAAAAAAGATAGGAAACATAAGCAGAAAAATATAAACTTTTAAAAGGAACCAAATGTAAATTTCAGAATTCAAAGATGTAACACTACATGAAATTTAAAAAAAAAAAATCACTGGAGGAGCTTAGTAGAAGCATGGAGATAGCAGAAGAAAGAGTCAATGAACTTGCAGATAGATAAATAGGAATTATCCAATCTGAGGATCAGAAGAAAACATTTTAAAAATGCGCAGAAACTCAGAGATCTGTGGGACAAAACAAAACAAACCCAAACCCTCTAATATATGTGTTCTTGAGTCCCAGAAGGAGAGGAGAGAGAATGAGGCAGAAAAAAATATTCAAGGAAGTATGCTGGAAATTTCCCAACTTTGGCAAAAAACAAACATTTTTAGATTCAGGAAGCTTGGTAAACTCAAAGCGGAATGGAAAGTAAAACCACAACAACAATAAAAGCACATCTAGGAAGAACATAGTCAAACTGCTACAAGCCAAAGGTAAAGAGAAAATCTTGAAAGCACCCAGACGAAAAGGACACACTGCATACAGAGAAGAACACTTTCAATGTCACTGTTTTTTCATCAAAAACACTGCAGACTGGAAGACAGTGGAACATGTTTAAAATTCTGGAAGAAAGAAAATAGTCAACTCAGAATTGCTTTTCCAGTGAAAATATTCTTCCAGAATTAAGATGAAATAAAACCATTCTCAGATAAAAGAAAACTCGGAGAATTTGCCTTCAGCAGACC